CCGGGACACCTGAATGGACTGAAGGGGTGGGCAAGCCGCCCTAGCCGGGTGTTTCCGCCGCGCACACTGTGTGCAACTATTCAAAAGGTCGGCGACATCGCGCGCCATTCCCGGCCAAAAAAAATCCAATTGCAGTGTAGCGAGCGTTTTGTGAATACCTAAATGCAGGACGCGTTCGTGCGCCGCCCACACGGCCCTGCCCCGCAGAGCGGTGGGGACGACGATTCTGTAACGCCCCGAGCTGGCGTCCAATGACATGAGGAGACCCTCCCGCAACCTGACAGTACCTACCCTTTCCTGACAATCTCCCCCTCTCTCCGCACGACAGCGTAACCTGAGGAGGGAATTGTCTTCCATCTGGAACCGTCCCCATTCGTCCAGAGGCAGATCGAGGAGTGAGTCGCGAGCGACCAACACCTGCGAGTCCCCCTCGGCGACAGGTTCCCTATCAACCACCCCTGCTGCCGCTGCCAAGGGAGAAGCCGGAGCGGTACTCGTGGCCGATTTGCATCTCCCCGAGCCCATAAAACACGCGCACCCATCACCCGGAGGAAGGCGTGACAAGCCATCCGCGTTCAAATGTTGTGTCCCCTTCCGGTACACCACCGTGAACGTGTAGTCCTGTAGGACCTCAAGCCAACGTGACAGCTGGCCGGACGGCTGGTCTATTTTCAACGCATACTGTAGCGCGGTGTGATCGGAACGAACCGTAAAATGCCTACCGTACAGGTACGGTCGATATTGTTGAACAAACACGACAATAGCGAGCAGTTCACGGCGGGTGACGCAATAACGTTGCTCTGCCGGAGACAGGACTCTACTGCCGTAGGCAACGACCCGTTCGACCCCGTTGACAACCTGCGAAAGCACCGCGCCGATGCCGGTATTGCTGGCATCGGTGTCCAGGATGAAGGGCAACGTGAAATCGGGATAGCACAAGGGAGGAGCTCGGACAAGGGCATCGCGAAGCGCCCTGAACGCCCTGTCTTCCTCTTCCCCCCAATGGAATTTAGCCCCCTTAGCCGTCAGAGCATGAAGGGGTTTGGCAATCGTCGCAAACCCCTCAACAAACCGGCGGTAATAGGACGCAAAGCCTATAAAGCTGCGGACTTCCCCACAGACGTGGGCGTGGGCCACGACCTTACACAGTCAGTTTTGGCAGGATCGGTGGCTATACCCGTAGAACTGACAACGTGGCCGAGGTACCGCACCGATTCACGCAACAGGAAACATTTCTGAGGCTTAAATTTAAGATTAGCCGATCGCACTCTGAGAAATACAGCCCGCAGTCTGTCCAGATGTTCCTCAAACGTACGGCTGAAAATAATCACGTCGTCCAGATATATAAGACAAGAGTCCCACTGCAGGCCAGCGAGGACCAGTTCCATCAATCTCTGGAACGTCGCTGGAGCTGAGTGCAATCCCATGGGCAACCGGTTGAACTGATAAAGGCCCTGTGGTGTACGGAACGCGGTCTTAGGTTTGGAAGCGTCATCCAAGGGCAGTTGCCAAAACCCCGACAAAAGGTCCAAGGTAGAAAAATACCATGCCCCCGCCAAAGCATCGAGCGACTTGTCCATGCGAGGGAGTGGATACGCGTCCGCCAGCGAAACCTTGTTAAGCTTCCGAAAATCCACACAAAACCTCAAACTGCCATCATGTTTTTTAACAAGCACAATGGGCGCACCCCATGGGCTGTTGGAGGGAGCCACAATGTCTGCGGCAAGCATGTCATTCACTGCCAACCGGACATGTTCCTTCTCTGCCGGACTTAATCGGAACGGATTTTGCCGAATGGGAGCGGAATCCCCCGTATCAATGTGGTGTTTCAATAGATTAGTGCACCCAACATCGAATTTGTGTTTGCTAAAAACATCGGGAAAATCACGAAGCAACATGCGCAGCTTGAATCTTTGTGACTCTGAAAGATTTTCAGCCCCTGAACAGAGAGAATCCATCCATGCCTCATCGACACCCACCTGCGTCCCGGACGCCGGCGCCTCACCGACATGAGCTGCAACGGAGTCAGTGTGCAGTGGCAGTGACGCATGTGCAATGACAGCCCCTCGGTGCACGACCTTCGTCCGCAACCCCGCATTCAGCACCTGAATGAAGGGCTGTCCATCTCTAGGCACAAGCGTTTGTGCACCCACCAGGTCCAACCCTCGCTCGGTCGTATTTGAAGGAGATAACAAAACCCCCGACGTAGCGTCTGCCTCCAGTGGTTTGCGTAACTGAAGCGGTATCAGCATCTGCGCACCCGGCGGAATCCGCACGGTTTCAGACGCCATAGCCGGAACAGTCGTGCAAGCTGTGCGCAGCCGGTTTGGTGAAGGCAGAAACGCCATCCGGCGGCCCGAAGGAAGCTCTATGCAGCCTTTGTCAATCAAAATTTTGATGGGCATCCTCCCCAAGAAATCCGTACCCAACAGACAGGGAACGGCCAAGGCATCGGAAACCAAAATGGGACCAGATAATTTAATGTCGCCAATACAAATTTGTGCAGTTATTTGGCCAATAATCCCCAGGGAACCCCCATTTGCCGCAAAGCAAGGGACGGAGAACGGGGTGAGTTCCTGACATCTCTTTGGTAACACGTTGTATATGAGGTCGGAGATTAGAGTAGCCGAAGCCCCCGTATCGACCAACAATCGAAATTGAATTCCCTCAATATCCCCGAGAATAACCGACGAGCCCGTCGCCGCGGCCACGACCCTGTGGGCCAACTCGGACCACTGAACCGCGCGAAGTGGCCCCCGAACATCAGCCCCATTCCGCTCCCCACCCCTCAACGCAACGCGATCTACTGGCGCGCCGAATCGCGGTGTATGCGGGCAGGGACCGTGTGCGTGAGGTGTCGCGACATGCCTGGGGGTCTTGTGGAGCGGCCGGCGGACGGGCGGACGATGGTGGATGACCCGAAGCCCGGCGCCGGGGTGCAGGGCAACCCGATGCCAGGTGACCCAGCTGGCCACAGTTATAGCACGTGACGCCAGCCAACGCCCGCGGGGGTCCGTGTCTCCCCCGGGTTTCCCCTTGGCGAGGCCGGTCGGCTCCCCTCCAACTGGCGGCCCGCTGTGACGCGAAGGCCTGGGCATCCGGGACCTCGTCAACTCTTGCAGCGGCGCACGCAGCCACCTGCCCATCCCGCTGGAGGAGCAACTCTGTGTGCAGGTAATGTGCCGCCCCCAGCGAGGAAAGGTTAGCTTCATCTTTGACGTGGATGGCAATCCTCAGTTCCCGAGCCAGCAGCAGCAACTGCTCCAGCACGATGGAGTCCAGGCCCACATCGTCCATTCGAGGATAGGCTGCTTGAGCCAACGCCATCAGTGCACTCTGATAGGCAAGAGGTGTCTCGTCCGCCTCCCTCCTCCGACTGGCGAAACGATGTCTAGTTTCGGATGGAGGTCCATACACTAAGGCCATCCGATCGAGGGCCTCCTGCAAAGTGGAGCGTTGCCTCCGTGGAATAAGGAGGAACGTGGCCAAGGCCACGTCGTCCAAGGCGGAAGGCAGGGCTCGGAGAGCGATGTCAGCAGACCACCCAGCCGTCTCGGCATTTGCCACAAAACGGCGTGAAAAAGCAGCCCAGTCCCCCCCCTTTGCCGTGAAAACCTGAAGCGAAGGCAAGCGCTGTTGTAGCGCCGGGATGTAGTCCCCCCTCGAAGACAGCAGCGTCCCAAGTGCAGTATATGAAGCATCTTTCGGCGGCAGAATATCAGACGGAATCGGCGGGCACCTACCCGAAAACTCTGCTTCTCCCGATGTAAGGCCGCAGATGGCGGATGTGACGCGAGCCACCTCTGCCCCCTGACCTCCTGGGCGGTTGACGTCACGTCCCCCGGAAGCGGTGACCCCCCCGGCGAAAGTGACGTCATCCCCGGTGGCCGCATCCCCGGCGGAAGTGACGTCTCCCCCTCCGGAGGTGACGTCAAAGTTTTGCGCGGGAATGGCGCGTTTCTCGGCGGGAACCCGTCCCATCCTTCGGCCTGGTACTCCACCCGGCGCTCCCGCTCCCCCAAGCGTGAGCTCGTCGAGGATGGAGGCAGCGGCATGGAGGAGATCGGCCAGCCGGGCATGGGCTGACTGGATCGCCCATCCCGACGTCGGCGGACTCCTGGAGGGCCCCGGAGAACCCGAGCCCGCCCCCGCAGACCCGTCCCCCGGAAATGGCGCTCCCGCCTCCGGCTCAGCGTCTCCCTCGACGTCCTTCTCCTGGCCCCTGGTGAGCGTTTTCTGTCTTGTCTCCATGTCGGCGAGGTTCTTTGGCCGCTTCTAACACCAAATGTAGTATTCTTGAATGAGACCGACAATTCGTAGAGGCCACACGCTTTTATTCCGATAACACTAGTCCTCAGGACTCACTGGGGAGACAGTCCCACACACACAACCTAGGGAGGTACAGCCTCCGGCTCTATTCTCATTTCTCTCCTTCCCTAGCCTCCAGCTACTCTGTTACTCTCTTCCCTAGCCTACAGCTACTCAGCTACTCTCTTCCCTAGCCTACAGCTACTCAGCTACTCTCTTCCCTAGCCTACAGCTACTCAGCCCACTCAGTTCCAGCGGGGCGGCATCCTTGAGGCTTGGGGGTCCAGGATCTCCGGCTCTCCTCCTTCAGCTTCTCCTCCGATCGACCCCTCCGCTCTCCGGGAGCCGTCTTATATATCCCCTCTCTCTGAGGGGCGGGGGTGTCTCGGGCCCTGGCTCTCGCCAGCCCCCTCCCCTCAGAGCCGTTCCAACCACCTCTCATCCCTGTCAATCCGGGCCGGTCCAGACCGGTACGTACCTCTCCCCTAGCTTGTGTGACCTGTGTGACCTGTGTCAACCTTGGTGTCAACCCTGACCACCACACATGTATAACATTTCTCTCTTTCTCCCTGTAAATGTGCATCTGTCTCAGCCCTGTCCATGTCTGTCGAGAGATATCTCAGCTGTAGAGAGAAACGTCTTAGCTGTAAAGGGTGGTGATCTTTATCTCTCTGTCTCTGTGTCTCAGCCCTGTCTGTGTCTGTAGAGAGAGATGTCTCAGCTAATGAGCGAGGTAACATCACTCTGTGGTGCAACATCACGCGACCAGAGCATGAGGAGCGTGTGTGTGGTGTCACGTGGACACTCCCCTCTACATCGGTGACCGTGAGCCTCAACGTGAGTGTCACAAATGTAATGGATATTTACACTGTCGCTAATTGGTATAACTGTGTGAATGTGTAGTGAGTCCAACTGAGGCAACACATTTATTGTAACACGTATATACAAAGGGGTAACTTCCCCTTTACCAGACACAGCCTCGGGTGGTGACCACCCAGCTAACTACACTATACGTAGGAGTTACAGCTACGAAGGGTCGGACCCTCACTCGAGTCCTGGCCACGTGTTGATGCATTGCATCGAGCTTCCAGCTTATAGAACGAAGCGACCCCGGTCCCTTTCAGGGACCTACGTTATATCCTCCCGGGTCGGGGCCGGCTCCACCCAGGCCCCGCCCGCCTTCTCGAGCATTCTAGCTCCCTCTCGACCCCCCTCGAGAGCTCTCCCCGGACACGTGATCACCCCCTAGCCCCCCCACCTGGGGCCCTCACTGTGGACACTCCGGAACACGTGTCTAGAGTGCCATGGCCGGGGAAACCCTGTCCCTGGGCTGACACTCTCCCGCTCCCTCTTGTGGGAGCCCGCACTACATGCTATGTGTGGTGCCCACGTTATCCCAGCGCTCACCAAGCCCCACTAGGGCTGGTACAACACCCATCTACGGGGTGTACGCGATGACGGTGCATCGCATGCCGTGCTATAGTAAAGCCGGCACCACACAGCAACCCACCCGGTGCTTATACTCTTAGTTCTTTCGGTAAAGTGCTGTCTGCGACATAGGAACATCGCACACCACGACCCTCCCGGGCCGGCACCATACAGTGACATCCCCGATGTCACTACATATGTGTTAACAGTAAGGCACAGATACTGCAGTTTTAAACATTTAAACAGTGCTTCAGTTTGGGTCCTTTCTAGAACTCTATCCCCTCCCATAACCCAAGTCCTGGCCTAACTTCACTGGGTTCATATCCACAAACATGTTGACTACAACGGGGGTCCTCAAACTACGGCCCGCGGGCCACATGCGGCCCGCCGAGGACATTTATCCGGCCCATGGTCACTTATTGGGCTGCGCTTGTGAGCACTCATTGGGCTGCGCTTGTGAGCACTAATTGGGCTGCGCTGGTGAGCACTCATTGGGCTGCGGTGGAGGGCACTGATTGGGCTGCGGTGGCGAACACTGATTTGGCTGCGCTGGTGAGCGCTGATTGAGCTGCGGCTGTGGGCACTGATTGAGCTGCGGCTGTGGGCACTGATTGAGCTGCGGCTGTGGGCACTGATTGAGCTGCGGCGGTGGGCACTCATTGGGCTGCGCTGGTGAATGGTTCAATGGGCCAATTGACTGGACTTGCCCCCCAGGCCTAAGGCTGCCAGCCCTTCCCTGGCTGCGCTTAACTGGCTTTCCCTCTCTCAGCTCCCTCCCTCAGCTCCCTCACTTGCCCCTCGGCTCCACTCCCAGTGATATTCCTGTGTGCTGGGGATCTACAGCACCGCTGAGTAAATGATAGAGGGGTAATAACAGAGTGATCTCTGATCTCTGGATGGGCTGCCTGCTGTTTTCGTGCTGGTCAGTGACAGACAGCCGAGGAGTAGGAAACCCAATTTAAATGACAGTAAGTGCATTTATATTCTGATTGCTATTCAGTTGTATGAGGTTATATGTTGTATGTTGTGTAAGCCCCGGTTCATACTGTTGCGATCTCTGAGCAGTGCGAGTTCAGCCATATGCTTGTATGGCTGAACTTGCATTAGATTCGGAAGAAAAAAGGCACATGTGCCTTCTTTTTTCCTGCAGTGGAATCGGATCGCATGGGTCTTCTCCCCCATGTGATCAGATTCCTATGCGAGTTCGCAGATCGCACTGCGATCTGTGAATAAAACTGCAGGTGTAATTAACTTTTTAATGGCACCCGCACCTGTGTGAGCCTGGGGTTAAAGCGGAGTTCCCCCAATCAGACTGCATTGATGGGTAGTGCAGTCTGTATGTCTCTATGTGGGCAAAGTTATTGCTGGTATATTGTTTTTGTAGCGCTGTATATATATATTGGTATTTTACTAGTAGCAATTTTGACTCCCTAGGAAACAATGATGTCAAGAAAAAGAAAAATTGACTCGGAGTGTAGGATATTCAAAGAACAGTGGACTTATGATTACTTTTTCATGCAGTACAAGGAAAGAGCTGTGTGTCTGATATGCCAGAATATAGTGTCTGTGTTCAAAGAATACAATTTACGTCGACACTGTGAAACTCAACATAAAGATAAATATGATTGTTTGGTCGGAGAAGTGAGAAAAGATAAAATATTAAAACTGAAAAGTACATTAACAACTCAGCAAAATACTTTTGTGAAGCAGAAGCAGCTAAATATTTCATCACTGCGAGCAAGTTTTCAAGTTGCCAAGCTAATAGCGTGCACTGGCACACCATTCGTGGAAGGAGAATTTGTTAAAGAATGACTTCTTTCTGTTGCCAAAGAGATGTGTCCAGAGAAGGCCGATTTATTTAGTACAGTGAGTCTTTCAGGACCTACAATTACACGGAGGATTGAAGAAATGGGAGACAATTTGCATCAGCATTTGCACAACTCCACAAAAAAACTTTCCTATTTTTCCTTGGCACTCGACGAAAGCAATGATGTTCGTGATTCTGCACAACTTCTATTTTTTATTCGTGGGACGAATGACTATTTCGAAGTCACAGAAGAGCTTGCTGCACTGCAAAGCATCAAAGGAACAACTACAGGAGAGGATATCTATGAAAAGGTTTGCCAAAATGTGAATGGTTTGGAGCTGAACTGGGCTAAACTAGCCAGTGTGACAACTGATGGTGCTCCTAGCATGGTGGGGTCTAAGAAAGGAGTAATTGCTCGCATTAACTAAGAGATGGACAAACATAACCATTCTCATCCAATAGCCATACACTGCCTCATCCACCAACAAGCGCTGTGTAGTAAATCACTGAAGTGGGACTCTGTTATGAAAATTGTGGTATCTTGTGTTAACTTCATTAGAGCTCATGCACTAAACCACAGACAATTTCAGGAATTTCTGTCTGAGCTAAATGTTGACTATGAAGATGTTTTTTACCACACAGAAGTCCGTTGGCTGAGTCGAGGGAGAGTTTTGAAACGTTTCTATGACTTACTTCCACAGATTACAGCTTTTCTGCTTTCAAAAAACAAAGAAGTACCAGAGCTCAATGATGCAGAATGGAAATGGCACCTTGCCTTTCTGACAGATGTAACAGAGCTACTCAACAGTTTAAATGTGCAACTTCAAGGAAAGGGGAAGCTCATCTGTGATATGCAATCACATGTCAAAGCATTTGAAGTAAAATTAGGCCTCTTCAAACAAGTGAAGGAGGAAAACTTCTGCCATCTCCCCACAACTCAAAATCTGTTAGCGGAAAAACCATTGGTTGCATTCCCAAACAAAACATGTGTGGATTCACTGGAAAAATTGCAAAAGGAGTTCCAATTTAGATTTAAAGAGCTTCATCTCCATGAACAGGACATACAGCTTTTCCGTAACCCATTTTCTATTGACATCGAAAATGTGGATACAATTTACCAAATGGAACTGGCTGAACTACAGAATTGTGACTCTCTGAAAGACGCATTCAAGTCAAGCAGCCTTCATAATTTCTATGCATCTCTCCACTCTGAGACATATCCTCATCTCAGGAACCATGCACTCAAAATGGCAACCATCTTTGGCAGCTCTTATGTCTGTGAACAGACTTTTTCAGAATGAAACATTTGAAATCTCCAACCAGATCTAGACTAACAGATGCACACTTGCATCACTTGTTACGACTAGCAGTGACAAATATGGAACCGGACATTGACCATCTCATTAGCCAAAAGCAGGCCCATAGTTCCCATTGAAATACTGGCAAGTTTGTTGATTTAACTTTACTTGTTCTTCATTTTAAATATTGTATTTGTTCCCGTTTTGTTTCTTCACTTCAAAATAAGATATATGCAGTGTGCATAGGAATTTGTTCATATTTTTTTTTAACTATAGTCCGGCCCTCCAACGGTCTGAGGGACAGTGAACTGGCCCCCTGTTTAAAAAGTTTGAGGACCCCTGGACTACAAGATCATAGTCCTTGAATTTAAATTCATCCATGGCCTTGCCTTTCCTTTGTACCTCTGCAACGTTCTCCACCTCCACGTCTCAGCAGCCAACCTTATTTCTTTAAAAAATGTAGTTTTCGTTATCAATACATATGTGGGGCCCGACGTCCACCCCACCGCCCCTGCTGGGCAGGTGGGGCGCGACATCCGCCCATTCTACTCTCCTCCACCATGTCGGTCGGCTCCCACCGGGCCCCCACAGACTGAATGACGGGGCCCCCACGCTAACGCCCTCTTTGAGGGACATGCTAGTGCTGCTGGCTTCGGAGCCGCATGGGGTTAAAGCACACGCCCGTGCAAACCGCAGCTGTCGCTAACAGAGAGGCCGCGAAACGCGCTATCACCTGTGAGAGATTAACTATCAGCTACAGCGACCGCACGCTTCCACCTGCATGCGATTAACTCTTAACGTGCATGCCCGCGCACACTGCGGCCCCGCTAACAACAGGAGGCTGTGAGTGCGTTCACACCTGCGCGATTACCTCACTCGGGTAAACATGGTAGCGATCCCGCGATCACCACCCCATGTTCACTCTCGCCGCACGTTCCCTCACTGCTACCCTGGACTCAGCTTGCACACGCAGTCGCTCCCTTTTAATTTCCCTGACTTCAAAAGCCCAGGGTCGCGTCACACTGTGTGGACAATCATGCGCCTACCTGTGGTTACTGCTCAGGATTTTCTTTTTTTTTGCCCTTCCATGTGTAATAAACGACTTCCACGCCAGATTCAGACTTGCGTCCTTTCTTTATTTAGTGATGACTGCTCGGCTCCGCACTCCCTTTCTGGATAGTCACTCTCTCTCTCTTTCTGACATTTCTACTGTTTCTACTTCTACTGTCTATGGGAAAATTGGGTCCCATGTACGATGATCGGATTAATTATGGGGTTTCCAGGAACACATTGTGATGTTGTAA